CCGAGAGGGGCGACACGAGGGGGGGGGGCATGCACTTTCAGTAATAACAGATGTAGTATTTGAGATGCACGGTGTTGCTGACATTGATACGCCTGCATTTGAGCATTTGAGTTGAGAGAAACCCTTACGGGCAAATACGACCTTGCTGATCAGATCCAATTATAAAGTTAGCATGCATAGTTTTTTTTTAACAAAACATGAAGGTGGCATCCAGAGAAAACTACTTTCAGAACAACTGATCATTTCTCTCGTTTTTAGATTACTTAATCGAGTTCAGCCTCCAACTTATTTCATTCATGTCTTCTATACTGATGAGGTAATGAGAATAACCAAAGATATGATAAGGTTTTTCTATACTGTTCAAATCCACCTGTCATGATGTATTCCTTTCCCAAAATAAAATGATGTATTCCTTTCCCGCTGCATTTATAGGCTTTGAATTTGGATACTGTAAGAAAGTTCGGATTAGGTAATTAGTTGTTTCCCTAGTATTGTTCAACCTCTACAAAGATCTCAGACAAGACCTGCCACTGCCTGTTCAGTATTCATTGCGAATCTTCAGGATATCTGTATATAGGAGGCTACATGATCTATGTAGATGTGTTAACTATTTTGTTGTCTGTGCTCAGTTAGCTGCATTTCTTGTGAGTTGTGACTCTTACCACATTGTGATGGTGTATAGGATGATCTTCAGTGGACTGTTTTGAAAGGGTCCGTACTCGTAGTTTGATCTATATTAAAGTGTGTGCACTAATACCGAAAAAGGGTTTCCCCCCGCTTTGTATACAAAGCAACCAACCGAACCATACATGGATAGGTGCTGGGGCGGAAGCAGCACAGTCACGCCCAAAAGAAATGAAAGAGAAAAGCAAAAGAAACAAATGCCGACAACGGCGGATCAACAAAAAACGAAGAAGCCTCGCGATCGCAGCGCCCACCAGGATCTTTCACTAGACTCCAAAACTCCGAAGCGCCGGCACCTATCAACACCTCCAAGAAGGATCGCGACGATGACGACACTGCTGCCAAGGGTTTCCCCCGGTGCACGATGAGGCGAGAGGAAGGGTAGCCCCGACGCCCTCCCGGAAGGTCAGGTGGCACCCACAGGCACCACCGCGCCGGTGTTGGCCATGCCGACAGGGATTTCCCCCGATCCCAACCCGCACCTCGGGCGCCCCGGAGCTTGCCGCCAAACCAACCACCACCGTGCGCCAACGCGGTCATGAGGCCCCCCGCCGTCTCACCACGGCACCGCGAAGTGAGGAAAACACGGCGAAGAATCAGAGCCGGGACAAGGGCATCGGCACTGTCGGCACGCGGGAGGGCCCCACCTCCACCGTCCGCGACGGTAGCCGTCCGGACGCAATAGCAGGAGCACACCAGGCCCGGCCGAGCCCTCGTGGGCCCGTAAAGCTCCCGCCTTCGTGCTGCTGCCAGCACGCCATCGGTGCCGTCGCCCCAAATCCGAGCCGCTCCTCCTCCTCACCGCGCCGCAAGCAACGAGGCCACGCCCGGGGACCGGCCCGCTAGGACCCAGATGGGGCCCTAAGGGCCCAGATCTGGGCCGTGGACGCGTCGCCGGCCAACCTGCGCCACCAGGCCGCCCCGCCGCCAAAGGACGGCGCCACCACCACGACGGGCCACCGCCAGCCGCCACCAGACCGCCGGGCTGCCGTCAGCCGAGGGGCACCCGTCGCCAGCCCTGACCCCGGGTCAGGAGGAGCACGCGCGGGGTAAGGGAGGACCCGCCGCCGCCAGCCCGCCCGGCCAGATCCGGGGGCTCCGCCGGCGGCGGCGGGGGGAGGGGCATGGGGGAGGGGGAGGAGAAGAGAGCGGGGGGAGCCGCCCCGGCCGCCCCTCGGGGAGGCGGCGCCGGCGCGGGGTCGGGGGAGGGAGGGGGGAGCTCGGG